AAGAAGCATATTGGCATTTTTGAACTTTTTTTTCCAGTGTGTGACATCATATTGGTAACATGTTGATATCATGGTGATAACATGTTGATATCATTTATGATTACAGGTTCCATTCACCCTGTTGCTACAATGTTGCGCCAGACCAATTTGTTACCAACATGGTCATTTTTAGCAGGGTTGTACTTATAAGTGCTGTCACCATAAGGTTTAAGCAAAATATTACCAAACAATAATATAGGATTGGTTTCTAAAGAAGAAGACACAATTTCTAAGGCCTTTTTACCACTTCATGCCATTTTTACGATAAAATGAAGTTATATTTCAGCTCCATTTTTGAAAAGCAAAACGTGATTCCAGTGGTTTTCTCTGTTATGGGAGGCAGGAGGGCCTCACGCCATTCCAAATAGTTGCCGTTCATATCAAATATTGAATTTGCCCGCACTCGTCGAAATTAAAGCTCAGTAAGGTTCGTTTTACGCCAAAAATCTCGAAAATACCCTCATTTTATGTTAAGAAAAGAACGGCGCTCCGCTTCGCTCCGCGGCGGTTTTTGGGGGGGGGGGGCTTCGCCCCCCCCCAATCACCCCGGGGTGCGCGCTTCGCGCGCATTTTTTGGTTTGGGTTACCAAAAATTGACCCGTTGAAAAGATCCCTGATACCGAATTTCAAGAAAATCGATCGGAATGCAGCCAAGACATCATATCAGGCCACGGCTGCCATCGTGGATTTTACAATTTTTGAAATCGGACCAAAAATTCGAGTTTCCCGTCGGAAAATACCCGCTCATGTCGAGTTTCACGAAAATTGATCGAAGTGAAGCCAAGACATCATATCAGGCCAGGGTCGCCATCTTTGATTTTCTAATTTTGCAAATCTGACCAATCATTCAAGCTTCCCGTCGAAATGGTATTTTTCGACGAGATACTCGAATTTATGGTACCACACTTCGATCTTTCGCTGCTCCTCGATCGATTTTCGTAAAGTTCGGTAACACGGGGTTTTTCAACGGGTCAAGTTTTGGTCAGATTTTCAACATTTCCATGGCGGTCGCGCTATAAATTGCGGTCCCGGCTCCTGGAACATAAATTTCTATAAAACTTGGTGAAAAAGAAGATGAAGACGAAGATGTTAGGTATCTTCTCGTCAATGTTAAAAACTATGTACTTAGGGCGGTGGCAGCCCGCGGAGCGAGTCGCAAGTTCATCGCGAAGCGAAGAACTCGGGTCCATGGTGGTCTTGCACCTCCATGTCTCACAAAAAGACTTATCAAAGCGTAGGCATAAAGTACCTAACTAAGTCATAAGCGCGAAAGTGCATTTAGGCATAGACCTATCTAAGCACGAAAGTGCATTTAGGCATAAAATACCTACCTATCTAAGCGCGAAAGTGCATTTAGGCATAACATACCGACAGGTAGACGGAGTAAAGAAGAAAATGCAGTGCAGATGAAAGCGAATGAAGCAGAAACCTCAAAAAAAGAATCTATAGAAGAAATAAAAATGCGAAAGGAAAACGTGGAATATCAACTGTCCAGATTTGTGAACTCTATGGAAACGACTTCCGAAACAAGCTCACCTGAGATAAGTGAAATAAAAGCGCGGTATACCAGTTGTACCAACTTGATTTTTAAATATTTAAAGGTAACAGATGCATTAAAGCACCTAAAGAGAAATTTGTGGAATCCTAAGGAGATAAACTCCTGACTCAACGATAACTCTGCATTGGGTTATAATGTAACGTGACAATTTTTTTTATCATTTTCAATTTGCAACTTGAAACAAGGTTAACATACATACATGGATTTGTATGTAGCTTATCACTGCCACGGATTAATTATCATGAACTTTAATACATTAACACAAATGGTTAAAATAATGCAAAAAACCAATCAGATTTTATTAGATTATTATTATTAGAAGATTTATTTATATATTTTTTTACAACTCTTTTACTTTAACAATCTTTTTTAAATTTTTAACAACTTTTTACGATTTTAACACCTTTTGAAAAATATTTATGAACCCTCAAATTTCAGCAATTTTAAAAGGCTCTAGCTTTGAAAGACTTGGCTACGGTCCATCTTTCAATGAGTTTATTTCCACAAACTATGTATTCTTTTGAGAAAAGTACAATAATAATGAGAATATAACATCTTCGCTTTTTTGGCCACGGACGCCATCTTGGGTTTTGGAATTTTGAAAATCTGGCCAAAAATTCGAGTTTCCCGTTGAAAAGTACCCGGATATTTAGTTTCACAAAAATCTGTAGAAAAATACCCTCTAAAACCTGAAATTTTGTCTATAATGCTGTGACGGCACGCGACAGGATTGAACCTATTCGGCGCGGTGCTTGTGAATAACCTCGTATCGTACGTGCAATGCATTAGTATAGGGAGAAACAACCTTATTTCTTTTTGGCTTCAGCGGTATTTTTTTCTGAATTTGATTTTTCAGGCATGTAAAGGTGTTTTTTAGCTACATTCTTGCCAAGTTTGAAGGAAATCGCTTCGAGATTTTTTTTGTAAAGTGTTGATGAAATCTCGGTACAGTAGCTTTATATAATTAACTAGCCATGATTAGCTCGCTTCGCGAGCTGACACGCCTAGTCGTGAAGTGCCCCTGGGCCCCAGTTCCTCGCCTCGCGATAAACTTGCGACTCGCTCCTTGGGCCGCCACCGCCCCACATAGTTTTTAACATTGATGAGAAGACAACATCTTCGTCTTCATTTTTTTTGCAATAATTTATGTTCCTGGAGCCAAGACCGCAAGATAGAGCGCGGCCGCCATCTCGGATTTTGAAATGTTGAAAATATATGAAAAAATTCTAGTTTCCCGTCGAAAAATACCCTCTGATACCGAATTTTGCGAAAATCGATCGATGTGATGAAGCCAAGATTAGACCTGTATAGCGAGAGTATAGACAGATGTGAAAATCCGAGAATCCATCAAGCCTTCACCGATGCCTCCGCGAATAAAGTTAGGGCCCAGAAATGCAGCCAACCTATGAATTTCAATTATCCAGAGCGATTTATTAATACAATTGTTACGAGCCATCGTTTATAAAGCACGTATTTGACTTAGTTTTTTCATAAATTTACTCATTGTTGCGAAAGAACGTCCATTTATGTACATCCTTCGCCATCTTGGTTAGAATTGGAATCTGCAGACTAGCAGTGAAATTTTGTGCGTTAGAAGTTGGTTAGAAGGGTGGCTGCACTTTTGGGCCCTAAGCCCTCCATGAAGCGATCTGTCCATACTCTCGCTATACAGGTACTCTAGCCAAGACAGTATAATAGGCCACGGCCACCATCTTGGATTTTGGAATTTGGAAAATCGGACCGAAAATTCTCCTTCCCCGTCGAAAAATACCCCCGGATATCGAGTTTCACGAAAATCCCTCGAACACGAGCCGACTTAGCATTTTAGGCCACGGCCGCCATCTTGGATTTTGAAAATTTTGAAAATCTGGCCAAAAATTCTAGTTTCCGCCGGAAAGTACCCCCCGCGACCAATTTCCACAAAAATCCGTCGAAAAATACCCCCTAAAACCTGAAATTTCGTATATAATGCTGTGACGTTACGCGACAAGATTGAACCTGTTCGGCGCGGTGCGTGTGAATAACCTCGTATCCCCAATGCATTAGTATAGGGAGAAACAACTTTTCTCTCTTGCGGGCGTCCTGGGCTACGTTTTCTGATTGGAATAATCTTGATCAACTCCTCACGGCAATTACCAAGTGTGTATAAAGTTTCAGGGAAATCGCTTTGGCCAATTTTTCTCTAGGGGGGCAGAGTGAAAGGTAACAGCAGCTTTAGATGGAGTAACTAGCCGTGATTTGCTCGCTTGGCGAGCTGACACGCCTTGCCGGGGAGTTCCCCCATGGACCCGAGTTCTTCGCTTCGCGATGAACTTGCGACTCGCTCCGCGGGCTGCCACCGCCCTAAGTACATAGTTTTTAACATTGACGAGAAGATACCTAACATCTTCGTCTTCATCTTCTTTTTCACCAAGTTTTATAGAAATTTATGTTCCAGGAGCCGGGACCGCAATTTATAGCGCGACCGCCATGGAAATGTTGAAAATCTGACCAAAACTTGACCCGTTGAAAAACCCCGTGTTACCGAACTTTACGAAAATCGATCGAGGAGCAGCGAAAGATCGAAGTGTGGTACCATAAATTCGAGTATCTCGTCGAAAAATACCATTTCGACGGGAAGCTTGAATGATTGGTCAGATTTGCAAAATTAGAAAATCAAAGATGGCGACCCTGGCCTGATATGATGTCTTGGCTTCACTTCGATCAATTTTCGTGAAACTCGACATGAGCGGGTATTTTCCGACGGGAAACTCGAATTTTTGGTCCGATTTCAAAAATTGTAAAATCCACGATGGCAGCCGTGGCCTGATATGATGTCTTGGCTGCATTCCGATCGATTTTCTTGAAATTCGGTATCAGGATTATTTTTATTATTATTAATATCATTATTATTTTTATCATTCCTTATTATTAATATTATTTTAATAGACAATAGCTATGAGGTGGGCTCGCGGAGCGAGTCGCAAGTTCATTGCAAAGCGAGAAACCGGGTGTCCAGGGGCACCCCCTGGCTAGGCGTGACAGCTTGCACAGCGAGCAGATCCCGGCTATATGCTGCGTCTGATGCTACGGCTATCTCGGCGAGCTATTATTTTATAACATGGATAAGCACAGGGGCATCATTCAAATTGATTTATCAACTTAGTTTTCAATCGTTTTGCCGTAAGTTGTTTATGACCCACGGTGACCCGACTTTAAAATCTCCTATCGTGAAATCACCCTAATATAGGCATGAATTTCAGATCATGCTGAAGTATATGATCATCATATTTTTTGAGTCATTTTCCAATAGAGGCATTCCTTTTTTTCGCTCCAGCAAAAATTCGCTACGCACTCATTAAGATTGTTGGAAATTGCGATTTTCATACGGTTTCTTTATACACACGATTGGAATCTGTTGCAGGAATTGAAAGCACTCCCAGCCAATAAGATGGCTTCCCCAAACGTTTCGCCGCAGAAGCCTACGGTTAAATGGCAACACCGCGAATCCACGCTGATCACATCGAACACAGTGAGCTGGACGCGGATATGGAAACTCACCCGGCTCCTCTTACACACCGAATACTGTTAAAATTGCCAGATCCCCCCCTCCCATAGCTGTGCTCATGTTAACCTAGAATCGACGTTATACCCTACTCCCTCTGCATTTAACCAAATTCAACCCATCGAACATCAATTGTGACGAGTTGGATGTAGCCTTGGGAACTCACCTGGATCTTGTTGCACACCAGACACTCTTGTTTGCCAGATTGCTCCCATAGTGCTATCCATGTCAACCTAGTATCGTCAGTAGACTCTGCCCGGCTGAAAGCATCACAACCCAACCCTCTTTCTGTCTCTTAGGGGAGCAGCCTCTATGACCACCTACCAGATTGCAATCTTCTCTTTACAGCTTTATGATTATTTTGTGATTCCTGAGTTTGAATCGATTTTCCCCGCACAGCACTCAAAAAAATATTTTATCATGTCTGATAGGTTCATCTCATTGGACAAAGAGTAATGCTAATACAGTATCACATACAGCTTATGGAGATCAGAGATGTCGGAGAACATTTCATTAAAAACTATTGACTGCCTTTACACCAGCTGATTGAGAATTTATCAAGTCAATATTATTCAGTATTAAATGTAAACGGTGAGGAGGCCTATGCTATTAATTTAAAACCAGACTGTATCTTTCACTCAGTATCAAAGCACCTGTGGCCGAATGGACAACGCGTCTGCCTTGAACACCACCATCACTCGCAAAGAATAGGTTATATCCAACCGCAACCACGATTTGATACTTTCATCCAAGGTAAGAGGATAGGTATAAAATCTGTTCATTCTGTTTTTGGGAGAATAGTGTGATAGTGTTCTACTAGATGCGTGCTAACTTCGTGGTTGAGGCTGAGGGACTGCGAAAAAAAGGAGTAGGTACGTGCAAAAAGGGTCATTTGGGGCTCGGGGCGGATACCTTTGAAACTTGCCCTATTCATTCACCTAACAACTCCCCATCTTTTCCCGAAGTTTCAAGCCCCCCAAAAAGAGCCGAATGCAAAAACGACTTTTTTCGCCCCCCCCTTAAAACTCATTCAAACTTCGTCTATCAGTTATTAATACTGGAGCGCTTCTTTCCCCAAATTTCCAGACCCCCCAAAATTTTTTTTGGGGGGGCGCTAGGGGGGTGGAAGTCAAAACCTGTGAACCTCGATATCTTTCGACCGAAAAAAGATATTCAGGCCCGGTTTGAACAAAAAATCGTCTAAAATTGCATACTTTAAGATCCGAAAGGTCAAAATCCCAAAATTACATTTGTAGTTAACTTACATGTGCTTTTTTTCAGTTTTTGAGGAAAAATACTTTCTTTTAAACAGTCTAAACTGAAAGATCACATTTTTGTATTTGAACCAAAACCAGTGTTTTAAATTGTTCGTTTTTTCCGCATCCAACGAGTGGTCATGTATGCTGGGGAACCGAACGCCTTTGGAGTTAAGAGCGATTGAAGTTTCCGCTCAACGCGCGCCGATCGATTTTCGCGCGCCAAAATATGGTTCCAAAGCCGGATTTGGGTGTTAATGAATCAGATTTTACGTCCAAACCGTGCAAAATACATTTTTAAGTATTTTTGAGGGTGGCTGAGTTCAAACATTACAGACGTTTCCAAAATTTCACCTTTTTCCCGTAGCACTACTTGAGAGGCCCACTGAGCGGCAGGTCGGTCGGCACTCGAGGCACTCGGTGGGCCTCTCAAGTAACGCTACGGGGAAAAAAGTGAATTTTTGGAAGCATCTGTAATTTTTGAACTCAGCGACCCTCAAAAATACCTAAAAATATATTTTGCACGGTTTGGACATAAAATCTGATTCATTAACACCCAAATCCGGCTTTGGAACCATATTTTGGCGCACGAAAATCGATCGGCGCGCGTTGAGCGGAAACTTCAATCGCTCTTAACTCCGGAGGCGTTCGGTTCCCCAGCTTCATGACCACTCGTTGGATGCGGAAAAAGACGAACATTTTAAAAGACTGGTTTTGATTCAAATACAAAAATGTGATCTCTCAGTTTAGTCTGTTTAAAAGAAATTGTTTTTCCTCAAAAACTGAAAAAAAGTATATAAGTTAACTTTCAAATGTAATTTTGGGATTTTGCCACTAAGAATCTTAAATTACACAATTTTAGACGATTTTTTGGCCAAACCAGGCCTCAAAATGTTTTTCCGGTCGAAAGATATCGAGGATCACAGGTTTTGACTTCCACCTTCCGAGCGCCCCCCCCCCAAAAAAAAAATTCGGGGGTCTGGAAATTTGGGGAAAGAAGCGCTCCTGTATTAGTAACTGATAGACGAAGTTTGAATAAGTTTTAAGGGGGGGGGGAAGCGAAAAAAGTCGTTTTTGCATACGGCTCTTTCGGTTAAAAGGAAAAAAAATTATGGTCATTAAAATCTATGCAGACTAGAAATCAAACAATATTCGCCTAAAGAATGAAATGAAAGCTAGAAAACTTATTTTTCTCTTCGGAACTTGTGGGTTGTGTCCGGCACCGGAGGGAGTTAAGGGGTTTAATGGGAGGACCACCTTTGTTGGAGGCGCACAAAATTCTTCTAGCTTTCTGTCGATTCTTTCAGCGATTGCCGTCTGATTTCTGATCTGCGTCGATTTTAATCACCTAAAAGGAGGGGTTTCGTTTTGGGCCAAAATCGTCCGCCCCTCCTCCCCCTAACGCCCTCCCCCCCATCAGCCCCCACAAAATGGGGGATTTTTGGATATTTGGCAGTTGACGATGCATATTTAACAGAAGAAGTCGAGTTTGTCCGATACTTACGGCGAGTTTTTTAATGCGAAACGGGGGCCTAAACATGTCTCCGGAGCCCAAAATACATACATGTTCTCCGCGCTTCTACCTCAGATTTCGATCTGGGCCCAAAGGAGGTTGGTTATATGTTTCGAATATGATGTGAGGTACACCTAGACACGTAATACGCTGGAATATGATCTCAGCCTTTGGGCTCAGGTTCAAAATCGAACTTTTCTAACTTTTTAGCCCAAAACAGCTAAAAATCCATGCATTCCGTGGTTCTACTTCAGATATCGACCTGCTTATGTTTGTTTTTTTTGTTTTTGTTTTTTTTTTGTTTTTTTTTTTTAGTTTCGCCCGAAATTCAGGGACTTGAGAACGTGCAGTTGAAGTAACTTTGAATTTACGAAGATATTACTGGGGCAAAAAATGAGAAAATTGGCTCATTTGACTTTTGATCTGACGTGCTTAGGGGTCCAAAAGGTCCCTTAAAATTAGTTTAAATTGCTTCCTTGGATATTTACTGAAAATTGGTTACAATTTGGCAAATTTTCCCGTCTCTTTGATGATTTGAACCAAATCTATGCATTTTTGAAAATGTAAGTCAAATGTGACCTTTGGCCTATCATAACTCGGTCAAAAATTAAGATATTTATCTGCGTTTGCAACAAAATTCTTAGTTTTTAATGTATTCCCTCCGATTAGGTAACACAAGGTAGGGGTTACCATTTGAACAAAAAAAAGTTTTGGGCCTCCATCCTACCTCCCCAAAGAAGGGCAAAAATTTTAACTCCCCCCCCCCACCCCCCGGATGACGGTCCCTTTAGAGATTAAATTTCCCAAAGTTTCTTTTTTTCATCTTGAAAAAGGTTGGAGGGGGGAGCGGGACTTCTGGAACACCTTGCATGAAATGTTAGTATGATCATACGCTTAAATAAAAAATTTTAATTATAAATTAATTAATTTTAAGCGCTACGGTTTACCGACATGATTTCGAGTTGAAAAATCCCGAATGACATACTTAATATCCCGCACAACCCGCAACTTGGATTACAAACTGAGTTACGCTCGAAACCTGGGGTTGGAAGGGGAGGCAATGCCGGCATATTCCCTGAGAGTACCTAAACATCAAATCGATGGTAAAACTACCAAACCACGTATCTCGGTTTGCGACGTCGCAGACTTCCTGTCATACTTTATTTTTTAAATGAAAAACTAAGTAATGTCCAGTCTTGAGAATTTCTGTGATTTTTCCTCTTCGTGCGAAGAAAATTCTGTGAAAATTTCAAGGAATGATATCGAATTGGTCTATTTCAAAAAAATAAAATGTGAGCGTAGATTTTTAAACACCGCAAACGAGATACGTGGTTTGGTAATTTCACCGTCGAAATGCTGTAGGTGAATTTTACTGACGAATTTACTCTCATTAAAGTTTCACCTAATGTATCTAGGTACGGGTTGCTTCATGCGCTGGGAAATATGCAAATGTATGTGAATGCGTTTGACCATGTAACTTTCGTTCCGAAAACGTTCCTTTTCATTTTCTTTGCGTTTTGGGCAGAGACGTCCTACGATTATTTACAAACGCGTGGGGAAAATTGTTGTTCAGATATGCCTCCTCGTCACGTAAATTCTCTGTGATCAGAATTTTGAAGTGCTTTTCTAGTCAGATTGATCCAATTTTGTTGTTATATTCGTACATTTGTGAATCTACATGGTCTTAGAAATTTGTTGAATTTTCTAATTCTAGGAGGAGACTAAGAAACCATCAGCTGATCAGAGACGCGGTAGATTGTAAGATTCCTAGGAAAACTTCTAGGATCTTTAGCAGCCTGCAATGCAATACTTCAATCAGGAAAGGAGGCTCCATTTGTACGACAATTTATACATCCATAGGGACAGAACGGTTAAGATCGAACCATTTCCATGTACAAAGAATGCGGAGGGGGAGGGGGGCAAGTAGTCGAGAAATTGCTTTCTTATATGTACCTAGGTCGTAGTGTTCGCGCAGGATACTTAAAAATGATTTAAAGCACGAGATCATCTCCCAAATATTTTTTGAGCTTGGTTCAGTTGAACTTTGAAAACTCAGCGAAGCATACTTCAACATTCTTGAAGTAGTTATTAAAGGAACGCACTCTTTCTCTGAAACATATGTGAACGCATTAACATCGCTCTACAATTTTTTAGTAAAACATACAAGTCGCTTTGATAAAAATCTGGCAATTTTGTCATTGTGCATTGAATATTCAGCCTCAGTATACCACTAAAATTCTTTTGGTAGGGGAGACCGGGGTGATGGGAGACTTATGCTCCTGATGCTGCTTATTTTATACAGGGTGTTCGAAAAGTCCCCTCCCCCCCTCTAACTTTTGACCTAATTGAGGTAGAGATTTGAAACTCGGAGGGTATTCCTAGATCAAAGAGAGCTACTTTTTGACCCCCCCCCCAAATTTTTTGGGGCCCCCCCTTGGGGAAGTTACGAACCCTAACTTTTTTTTCAAATGGGAAGACCCCCTTTGTGATACCTCGTGCGAAAGAGCATAAAAAAGGAAATTTTTTGCGCAAATCCGAAGTCATTATCTCAAACCGTTTCAAAATGGCGGCCGGTCAAAGTTCAAAATGGCCGAAAATTGGCATCTCTGCTATTTGCACATGGATTTGCTTGATACTCGGTATCTGGGGGTATTTTGGCACGAGAAAAACGAATTTGACGTTAGATTTTTAACTCGGTGTTTGGGGGTATCTGGGTTTGTCTCCTACCCAGATCCCCCAAACACCGAGTTTCAGGCGAATCCATCGGCAAAAAGTTGAGGTTGCCAATTGTTGACCATTTTGAACTTTAATCGGCGGCCATTTTGAAAAAATAGGGTTTGTTTAAAAATCTAACGTCGAATTCGTTTTCTTCTCGGGTCAAAATACCCCCACCAGGTACCGAATTTCAGGTGAATCCATTGGCAAAAAATCAAGTTTGTCAAATTTTCGGCCACTTTGAGCCTAAACCGGTGCCCATTTTGAAAAATTAGGGTTTTTTTGAAAATCTAACGTCAAATTCGTTTTTTTCGTGCCAAAATACCCCCAGTTACCGAGTTTCAAGCAAATCCATGTGCAAATAGCAGAGGTGCCAATTTTCGGCCATTTTGAACTTTGACCGGCCGCCATTTTGAAACGGTTTGAGATAATGACTTCTGATTTGCGCAAAAAATGTCCTTTTTTTATGCTCTTTCAAACGAAGTATCACAAAGGGGGTCTTCCCATTTGAAAAAAAAAGTTAGGGTCCGTAACCCCCCCAAGGGGGGCCCCCAAAAATTTTGGGGGGGGGGTTCAAAAAGTAGCTCTCTTTGATCCAGGAACACCCTCCAAGTTTCAAATCTCTACCTCAATCAGGTCAAAAGTTAGAGGGGGGGAGGGAACTTTTCGAACACCCTGTATTTAAACAGTTATCACACGCACAGTCCGACTGTACAATCACATGGTACATTCGTGGGCTAAATGGAAGTAGTTGGTGGTGGTCCACTGCCGACTGTACACGTTCTTCTACCAGTAGGCTGATATAGTGACTACGTCATTCGATATGATATCGAACTCTTGGTCGGCCTAGGGGTCAGCGCGTCTGACTCTAGACCAACAGGTTCCAGGTTAGAATTCCGGCACCCAAATAGCATTTTTCAACGAAAAAATCGCGATATATTGCCATTTTATTGGCAATAAAAACGCTAGGAACATCAACATCTGAGCGATTATCCTCGATTTTGTCGCAATGAAATCGCGATTTTATCGCCCGGCAATTTATCGCGATATTATCGAAACAAAAATCGCGGTATATGTTGATTTACTCTCGATTTTATCGACGAAAATTGATCGCGATTTTATCGAACAAAAAATTGCGATGCAAACCGATCTAATCGCCATAAATCGCAATTTTTTATTCGATAATATTGTGATGCTGCCACGGATATAATCGCAATAATCAACTGATACAAAAAAGCTGATACAACTATATTAAAATAATAGATGAAAAGAAGGTATTTAAAAGTTATTAGCAATAGAGAAGGAGAGGTAGAATTTATATCTATCTATATTATACAGCTACAAGCAAAATCTTGGAGGCACTATTTCTGCGAACTACCGGACCGATAAGGATGATCTTTACATGGATGTCACCTGTAATAGCTGTAGATGTGCAAAAATTATGAAACCCCGAACTGTTAATGTTGTAGAGCTTTTAAAGCTCATGTCACTTATGTCCAATGTTAATAGCGGGAGAGACATGTCGTTTCCGCTAGAAACGTCGAGGTGTGGGATTCTACCTGAGTGACTCGAATAAACAATAGAACAATGGAAAACCTCGTGTAGGGCTCCTCATTCCGAGAGTTGAGGAACGGTGCATAGCTTAGGGTTCAAGGTTCAAGGTCCAAAGTATAAGGTTTTTACTCAATTTTTCCTCATTCTTCCGGCTTCGATTGTGGCGTTGGCATAACCTCCCATAAACGCATACGCGCACCAAGCGCCCATCAAGGGGTTGGGCCGCGTAGCGGTCAGGGGGCAGGGCCCCCTAATATATATATATATATATATATCCAAAAGTCCCTTCCAATCCCTCTAACTTTTTACTTTATTGAGGTAAAGATTTGAAACTTGGGGGATGTTCCTAGGTCAAAGGGAGCTACTTTTTGTCCCCCCTAAAATTTTCAGGGGGGGCCCCTTGGGGGGGGGGGCAGCTAATTCTTCTGTCCGAGGCGGGATTAGAACGCGCAACCTTCGGATTACTGCCGTGCGCCGCCTTTACCGTTTGAGCTAGCCAGGCTACCTGTCGGGTACCTCACTGTTCACACATTATATAGCTCCGACATGAGACGAAACCCTTACCGGCGCATTTGCATGAAATAAAAAATTCAAAGAATTAAAAGTAACAAAAACAGAAACGAAATAAAAGGAGGAAAAAAAGGCATGAAAGAAGTAAAATTAAATTTCCCAGAACTTAGTTAAAAGCATAGACGATATTTATTTCGATTGACTGGAAATTCAAACCTTTTAAAAAAGCATTTAAATTTTTAAAGTTTCAGGTTTATCGAGTTTGAGCTATTTCGAGAAGACTAAATTGAGGAAAAATGGTTGTTTCATCAAATTGTTGCGATACATTCCTGCATTCATGCTAGAGATTTGAAAACAAGTTACGGAAAGGAACACGTGGGAGTTTTTCATCATACTTAATAGCAAGATTATTGCGATAATTTTTGCGCCTTGCAATTAGCAGATTGGCAACAGGTGACACAACCAATAATCGGAATTTATTGCTACATCATAGCAACAATATAACAATAATTTCCGCGCCTTCAAATGAGGGAGTAGGCAATACGCATGGCAAATATAATATAGCAACATTCCTACGATTTTATGTCCATCTATATGTATCCTTGCTACTTGGGAGCCAGGGTCGCCTTTTGTTCTCTAGTTGGAGCGACAAGGCGAGGCAGGCCTGGATCAGGACGACACTGCAGCCGTTTGGCACTGTAGGGGAATAGATTTCTGTATGGGCCACGGTTAACACATGGTCTAAAGAGTCTCGAGGCTCATCATAGATTGCACATACAGCTATATTCTCCCTTTCACAACAGAAGCGCCATCATTTTCAAGAAATACGGTGTACAAATCTTCGGAGCCACGGTTTTAAACAAAATGGAGGAGTGATATTCAAATTCGAGGGCGGCTGAACGGCTGTATATTTTTAAATAATCGTGGCACGGTTTTATAAGTAAAGAAACAAAATATAGAGAAAATACATATAAAAATATATAGAAAATACAGAGAATGACGAAAAGCGATCAACCTAAAAGTTTGAAGCATTACGTAGTAACTTTTTTACAAGCTCCAAGATTCAGAACAAGCCCTTCTGTCACTTTCCGGCTAGCAACTCAGGCACTCGATACATTGTATCGAGTAGGAGGTCAAAACTAGAGTACCTGTATAGCGAGAGTATGGACAGATCGCTTCATGGAGGGCTTAGGGCCCAAAAGTGCAGCCACCCTTCTAACCAACTTCTAACGCACAAAATTTCACTGCCAGTCTGCAGGTTCCAATTCTAACCGAGATGGCCAAGAATGTACATAAATGAGCATTCTTCCGCAAAATTGAGTAGGTACCTAAATTTATGCAAAAACTGAGTCAAACAAGTGCTTAATAAACGACGGTTCGTAACAATAGTATTAGTAAATCGTTCTGGATAATTGAAATTCATAGGTTGGCTGCATTTCTGGGCCCTAACTTTATTCGCAGAAGCATCGGTGAAGGCCTGATGGATTTCCGGAGTTTCACATCTGTCCATACTCTCGTTATACAGGTTCTCTAGTCAAAACGATCGCAAAGGTGCGGTATACTACGTATAAGCGCCAAAAAGAAAAAGGAAAAAAAAAGCAAAAAACGGAGTAACATAACCTTATTTACAAATTCTTCATGAGCCAATCGTGTTCATTTATAGAAATTTAGTCATTGACCGGTCATAAATCAGTCAACACGTCATTAAACACGAGAAATTTCGATTGTAAGAAACACTTGGAGGCATTTTTACCACCATGGCGCAAAAGGCGCGAGTCTGAAACGAGGTTCTGTGTTTGTTTAGGTACATTAGAACCAAGAGTTCGATAATACATCAAATGACGTAGCCATGCACTAAATCAATCTATTCCAGACCGGATCGGACGGCAGCAGACCGCGGGCGAAGTGTTTGTGAACATGACCTCCTTTTTTCGTTGGTTTTTAAGGTCGTCTCGCGCCAGAATTTCCGTGGATTTCAGTAAATAAACTTCATTTTAAAAACAAAGAAAATCACACCATTTTGTAGCTTAGGGTACATACCCTATGAAGTACATACCCATATGAAGTACATACTTCATATGGCTTTAATTGTTTTTTAAATTACATTCAATTTTACACGGCTGGCAGCCAAAGTCTCTCTTTTCTCCGCATTCTAAACAGTATCAATAAGAAAATTCCACATTTTAAGTGGCATTTTGAAACTGTTGTAAGGATCATTTTTATGAAGGTTCGAAAGTCAAAATTTTCATTGAAGCAAGTGTTTCATGTTCAATTTCATTTTATGGTATTCTGACTAGATGTAAGCCCAAATTTTGCATTCTTCCGTTTTTTTTTAAATACAAATTTAAAACTTAGTTTTTTAATTAAATTTGTGAACTTCCCATTGTCAAACTTGAAACCTGTGTAACTCCTGCAAA